TGACAGGATCAAACTCTTACAATCCTTCTCGTATTTTTTTACAGCTCCTCGAGTATTCATGCTCTTCAGCACCACAACTGACATTCGGAGAGTCCTATTCAACTCATCAGACAACCTAGAAGTCGTTTTACCTGTGCGTGGTCTGACGGATGTTCGTGCTATTGATTATGATGTCAATAGTCACCTCATCTACTGGATCGACAGTGCAGCGAAACAAATAAGACGCTCTTTTCAAAATGGTAGCAATGCTAAGACGATAGTCCTTGGAGAAGATTCCTCGCCTTACGATCTGGCTATTGACTCATACGGACAACAGCTGTTCTGGACAGACAGTGTGAAAAACAGCATAAACGTTTATAGCTTAAGAAAAGGGGTGTCTATCGGTGTGGTCTTTCATGAGAGAGATGTGCATCCACGGTCTATTGTGCTTTATCCAGAGAAGGGGTGAGTGAATTCTTTTTAATGCTGTTTGATTTATTTTATTTTAATTGGTTAGTAATCCCCTTAGCAATGGGCTAGATTTGCTAGATTGCCGAATACCAGGCCCAATAAATATCTAACTTAAAAAGCTGCTCCCGTAGTCCCACAGTCGTTCGATTTGTATAATAAATTCTGATATCGTCTGCGGGACTGTGTGAGCGCTCATTTTACTTCGGCATAATACAACACGACTGCCGGACTGCAGGCGTAGTTTTTCAAGTGAGATATTTAGTGGGCCGGGTATTCTGCAATCGCTATTTCTTTCCACATAAACCAATAAAAAAATTGATTCTAATCAGTTTTTACCCTTTTCAGACAAATGTTCTTTACCAATGAAAAACCGGAGAAGAAATCTATCGTGCGTGCAACAATGGCTGGTGCGCACAAGTTGACACTCTTCAGCGCGGCATCCCCGCGGGATTTGGCAGTGGACAAGGTGAGAAACAGACTTTACTGGACGGACACTACAATGAAAAGGATTGAGTATGCCGATCTCACAGGTACAGGTTCGCTCTTAAATTCATTATATGATTGCCACTCTTATGTACGTTGCATATTTTGTCAAACAAACAAACAAAACCAAAACAAATAAGTCACTTAGATTAGAACCAGTGACAATAAACTAAGTTTCCAGTGGTTGGCAAAATTGAAACGTTTTAGTTCAGAAACGTGTGAACTTTCTTGGTGTGGTCAAAAGGGAAGCAAGAAGAAAGAAAAATGCACGGTTATTTTAAATTTTTCAGTAGTGGTTTTCTTCTTTTTAAAAGGCCAATTTTCTGTTGCTAGTGCTTTTTAAAGTGCTACTACGATCAAATTTGGGAATTTGTTTTTGATTACATATTTCGAAAGTGTATGTAAAAGTGACTTACCGTGCCAAGTTTGGAGTCCAAATATGATCTGGAAGTGTGTTTATTTGCACGGCAATTTTCGTAAATGTCTTGCCGCCATTACTCGATTCAAAAAATGACCGGGAGTAGTATTTGAAGGAGTTGGGGCGAGATGTGACGTAGAAACATCAACGCGGCAAAACAAGGCAAACAAACGTGGCTAATTTCGCATGCAGGACGGGATATTTATCTACTTAGTCTCCTTTAACAACGTAGTCCGCGTTCAACTGCGAAAAAAAAATATTAACATGTTGACAAGGTCATTTTTTGGCGACCATTTTCTTAACGTGTTACATGAAAGGAGATCTTGATTAAAATAAGGGCTTAGGGAACTGCACCCTCTTCCTCTTATTTTCAGCCCTCTTCTCTTGATGTCGATGAGAACTTCCCGCGAGTTTAAAGTGAACGCCAACAACAACAGTTACAGTTAAAGAACTATACTAGTACTTGAATTGTGTCTTCAGTAATTAACACATGTAGCTCACAGTCGAATAAATATACCTTACAGGAATGAACCGGGCCACACTGATAGAGACAAATGTGTTACAGCCTGTTGGCTTAGCAGTCCATGGAAGTTATGTGTACTGGATAGATCGTGAGTCCCGCAATGTCATGAAAATCAGGGAGGATGACGTTCGTGGCCAAACGGTGCAAGCAGCTATTGATGATTTATCTGACATGATTGTCGTTGATACACTGAAAACATTAGGTGTGAAAGTTCTTTCATTTTACACTTCTTCTTGATGGCGATTTGTTATAATTCAAGTGGTTATAAATAAGGATTGTATCGTAGTATTTGCTGGTCAGTATGTAGGGTGGCTTTGAGGGCTTATACGACGTGCAGGACGACGACAACGACAGCGTAAAGAAAAACTTAGGTTTGATAAGCCAAACAACCACTTTGCTCGGATCACTCCGTTTGGTGCATTTTTTACCGCCCTCTGTACAACTAGGCCGTTAGATTACTACATGCAATGCGATGTAGGTATTTTGGGAATTAATCATACGATGCGAAGTATTCCTTTCTCTTTGCGAACTTTGTTGCGGCACCTAACAAACAAACTATAGGAAAATACGCCAACATTTGGCTTGAGTGCGGTGTAAAGTTTGAACGACCGGAAATTCACGTTATTAGTGAGCTTAAAGGGGCTGTGTCACGGCAGTCCAGTTCATTTTGTTTAATTTTGCCAATTACTCGCCCTCAATCGCTATGGAACTGAAAGTAAGCAAAGAAATTACATGTAAATGACAAAATCAGAGACCCGAGGCAAACATATATGTCTCCTGAGCATTATTATTGAAGTTGCAAGCGGTAGGGATCATCTTTGGAAAACTGTTAGGCTGAACAGTTTTCAAAAATCCTAATTTCAATCCGTTTCAGTCTTCTTCAATTTTGCCCTTCCGTGACATCTGTTGTTTCTGTTATGTTATTTTAACCTTCCTTTAACGTTTTAAGCGGTTATTTTTATGTTTCTCTTAATTTAACGGGCATTTTGTAATTTCCTAATTTGGCTGAATTTCGTGACACAGCTCCTTTAAGCAAAGACGTTCTTGAGCGACGCACGTCAACCGGAAGCTAGCGGTCCTTTTTCATCTTTGGTCGGTGATCTGCCCAAATTTTTGGACAAATTGTCTCTATAATAGTAAAGACACTTAGAAATAAAAGTTTGGTGGCGTCAAGGTGCTTTAAAATGAAAAAAAAGACCTCACTTGCGGTAGTCTGCTACACAGCCGTTTTTAGTGTCGTCACGCAACGCTCCTCCCCACTAAGCGTTGCGTGACGACACTAAAAACGGCTGTGTAGCAGACTACACTTGCGGTTGACTTGCGTCGCTCAAAAAGGCCTTTGCTGAAGCTCCCTATCAATGCCGTTTTCTCTTCCGTCGCCGTCGTCCTGTTGAAGCTATCAAGACAATACATTTGCTTGATTAATTCGCTTACGTTACAATAAACCGCTTGAGGGAATACTTTAAAACCAGTTTGGTTGCTCTAACAGGTCCAAAGGAAAACATTAATAAGTCACGTTATCAATTTTTGCAGCACTGCATAATCCAAGAATTCCCCTTGTGGGGTCACGTGGGGGAAGTTTCCTTGTTACAGTCAACGCCCGATAACTCGAAACTTCAAGGGAAATCAAAAGGGGCTCGAGTTAGCGGGAGTTCGAAGCAAATAACCGGAAATAAGAAAATGGGATGGGGAATGAATGCAAGTAACATGCGCACTTCAAAACTTGATTGATACACAATGCTGGACACTGCATTTAAACTGGACTGACTAAATAGCAAAGACAAAGACCATATGGTTGTTAAAATAATTTCAACATTTCGGACTGCAGTACACTTGTGTTTTCGACTTGTCAGGCGTTAAAACATGGTTAAGTTATCGAGGGTAAATATCGAGGGTAAAACGTGGGATTTGACTTGGCATATTTATTATTATTTAGTTTCGTACCACACGGCATGTGCGGGAACCCTCGGATAAAATTGCCAACAAAAAGTTTGTTACAACATACGCTACAATTACAAACGCGCGCGCAGAATTTGAATCAAAAAACTATTGCGTGATAACGGAAGATGTAAAGCTGCTAAGAAGAAATTTGCGCGCGTGCCTGTAGGAAGTTACAAGTTTGTTTCGCTTGTTTAAGCTTGCCAGATCGGGTCTGCAAATGATAAAATATTTTTCCCACATGCACAAATTACAGCGATTTGAACCGGGATTCAAAGATTTGAAGCGAGGGTAAATTCATAGAGAAATTATCTGAAGGGAAACAAAAATTTCTTCGAATTAGCGGGAAATTCGAGTTTCCGAGGGTAAAATTGTAGTAAATGTGTGAAGGAAATCCAGGGGATTTTTCGATTTTGGTTCGAGTTTGCGCAAGGTTCAAATTAGCTAGGGCTCGAGTTATCGGGAGTCGACTGCAGCTTTAGTCAATCATAGTGAGCCTAGCTACCTTACTGGTACTTACGCGGGTGGACAGTATTTGGCAGGGGTTTATTTGCGCGATTTCAAGAGGCAAATCTGATATGATAAAAATGGCGAAATTTCACGATTTAAGCGTCCTGAACTTTATTTAATTTTGTAAAAAGTTTAAACTTTTTAAAATATCCAGCTAAACTGGAACAAGCAACGTGTAAAATGTTTTCAAATGAACGTTAATTTACTAATTACAACTAATGTCGATACATATCATTTATTTTTTTGCTATTACAAGTTGAAAGGTTTTTTCTATGAAATTTGAGTTTTCTGCTTAAATTTCGCGATTTTTTTTACAATCGCGACAGACGCGAAATGAAAGACCCACGAAATTAAGTACCAATATTTCGTATATAAACTGGAACCTAGTTTTGTTGGTCGTGATGGACGGTGTAATGGTTGTTGCGTTTGGTTTGTGTAGTTCACCACCCTTGTTTCATGAAGCGTTGTTCCCATATCTGCTCTGTTGGTGTGCATGGACATGCTCAGTGTTCTTGTCCCATGGATGTGATTCTTCCTGAAAACAATTCTACTTGCAGAGGTTAGTTGTCTTATCAGTACTTTGAGTGACAATTTAAGAAGTGAAATGATTTACAATAAAGAAAGGAGCACTATTAATTTTACTGTTTGTAACTAACTGAACAGTGTTTTACCACCTGCCTTTTAAGACAGTGAAAAGTTGCTGCCAAAATGTATGAAATTTATCAAGAAAATTATTCTTTAACAGCTTCGAAGACGTGTGATCCAGAGCAATTTACTTGTTCCAACGGACAATGCATCCCTCAAGGCTGGATCTGTGATGACAGCGAGGACTGCAATGATGGTTCCGACGAACAAAACTGCCGTAAGTCCCTTTACTAACGTTTTCTACCGGGAATGATTTCTTTGAATGTAGGAATACCTTCGGTTAAGCGGAGATCCGTGTGACCCTCGCTTATGCCCGGTTAATAGAGATGTCCTGTCATTGCAATTTTGTCGTACAGAAAATGAGGGGGAACGTTTTGGAATTTGAGACCGTGTCCGCTAAATTAATTCGGTGTCTGTTTAATAAATGTTTAATCAATCAATCAGCCAATCAATCAATCAATCAATCAATCAAACTTTATTTAACGGGCACGTAATACAGTCGACTCTCTCTTGACGGACACCTCTATAAGACGGACACCTTCCTTAAAAAGGACACCTAGAGTTGGTCCCTGCCTTTCTTTACTCCCTTTATTTGACTCTCTATAAGACGGACATCTCTCTAAGACGGACACTTACCGCCGGTCCCAATCTGTCCCCCAATCTGTCCGTCTTAGAGGGAGTTGACTGTAGTGGAAAAAAACACTAACAAACTTGTGGCCCTCACCTATGGGATAGATTATTACGGTTGTGTTTTCACTAGGCCGATTTACTAGCTAAACATTCATTACAGGGTTTTGTTTAGGGACGGACCATTAGAAAACTTAGTGGGGAGGGGGGGCGAAGTACAAAAACATATTCGCTCAAGGAAAAATTAAATGAAGAAAAATTCATGGCCTAAAAAATTTATACAAGGAATCTGATGACGTAAAAAAAAAGCTGCGGCTCAAAAATTCCCCACCCACCCACCCATAGCTTTTCTCATGGTCCGTCCCCTGCAAACCGACTTTTACTATTTGAACGTGACAACTGTTTTCACTGTGAAATTTAACCCGCAATCTATGCCGCTAATTCAGAGGATTCAAATAGCTGAAAGCTCGCCATAATAAAAAATGGCGGGGGACGAAGCGCTTGTAATGACTTCTCTTGTGATTACTTTCGCCTTTTTTTGCAAAGGAGAAGGAGTTTTATTCAGCGAATGAGGCTTATGTCTCGCTGCTTGAATAGGGAGACGGATGAGGCATAAATGGTAGTGGAACTACTTTAAAAACTTGCGATGGGTTGTAATCAAGAGCCATAATGGGACAGAGACGGAAACGCCCAGTCTAGCCCTTGGGATATGTGAATTTCACCAAACGTATTTTTAGACTAATTAAACGCTTAAATTAATCGGAAATTGGTTTCCCGAGAGGTCCGCAAACTTTTATTCAGCGCTGTCAAGTAATAATGGCGTCCCGCGTGGAGGTGCGTTTCATCAACCAAAGTGATTTTGTAAAAAAAGGAAATGGTTTTCTCTTAAAAGGTTGTCCCGATTGGGAGCTAGATTCCTCGATTTCGTTGGAAATGACTGATTTCCTAGATGATATATCAGTTTGTTTATTAGGAGGAATTGAAGTCCGCGGACAGCGATCCTGTTCATGAAATTTCAATTTCGGTACTGGAACCTCCGCAGGAAGAAATAAATAACAGCAAAAGGCAAACGGAGGAGTGGCAATAATCGTCGCACAAAACAATCCAAGAGGCCAAACGTCAATTCCAGTGAAGCGACGTCGACGCTCGATTCGAACGAAAACGCTAAAATGCAAGCAAATCACAGCAGAAATCAAAACAGGAAAGCAGCAGAGGTGCTAACAAAAAGAGGACTAGAAAGTAAACTTCCCCCATGTGTCAGAACTTCGTATCACAACAGCTCTAACAATAAGTCATGAAAAACTTTGAAACCAATCAAAAGCAATGGCTAATCGAAGAAATACTCGACCCTCAGAACGTTGTATCTAAAACTTGTTTCTTCAGTGGCAGAGGACGCAAACAAAACCCGCCAAGTTTATTTGACGTTCGATGTTGTGGGCCCAGCGTGTCAAAACATTGTAGGAAACCATCACATTCGCGGACTAAAGAAAATCGCTTTTAGTTATTCAGATCCAGGAGGCACTTTGGAGAAAATTAAACAACCTAAAACCTTATTTAGCTGCAACAAACAGCGTTAGTTTTGGATCAGAGGGCCAATCCTGCAGACCAGAAACAAAACCTACAGAAAATCAATATGTGTCATGACCTCGCAATGTGAAACAAGCGGCAAAAATCACATTTGTTAAATCAAAACTTAGAACCCTCCAGAGCATAATCTACCCACCAGAAGGAAAAAACTTATTGGAACAAGCAGCATCATTTTAAGCACTGAAATGTGCTCATCAGGCTCATCTTAATATTGATGCCGAAATCTAGACGCCTGTAACTCTCACTCGAAAAGGGTCATCTTCAATATGCAACAGTCGATCGCCATCACAATATTCTGCTTTGTTTGCTTTAAGGCAGTCACGTGTGGACTTGATGATGCTTCAAACAATCGATTAAAATGAGCGGACGTCCCAGGAATTAGATTTCCGTTTAATTACAACCTCTGAAAATAACTTTAGTGAAATTCACATATCCCGGCCAACGCCCTAAGATTCTCTCTTTGTCCCATTATGGCTCTTGGTTGTCATGCGGTAAATGGTTCTGTAAACGGGCACTCTGAAAAAGATAAGGACCTGGCCAAAGAACTGGAGAATCTAAGGGGGTCAGTGGGATTGTAAATCGAAAAAAATGATTGTTGGAATCGTTTGCCATGTTGAAGTCGGCGTTGCTAAAACGAGGGTAAGGGTGAGGGAGAGGGAAGGGTAAGGGTACGGGTGGAGGGTGAGGGTAAGGGTGAGGTTAGGGTGAGGGATTGCTATTATAAGAAAAAAAAACAAGGAAAATATAACAGCTGTGCAACAATCGAGTTATGGATGCACGCAGGAGTTTGCTAAGCACTCAACAAGCTGGAGTTGCTCTCGGCTACTCCTCGAGATATTTCTTCGTCAGAGAATCTGTGTGGTTATTAAAACTAAGCTCCTCATCAATTTCAAGTCCCAATAACTTAACGCTATCAACTTGCTCTAGTCGAGTCCCATTTAACTCAATATTGAGCTGTTTTTCCTTGTGGTAAGCTTTGAGTTCAAACTACTTTTACTGATAAGTATTGTCTAGGTCTTTGAAGAATTTAACGGCAATTGATGGCTGTGGCCCTGTCATCAACATTCTAGACCTCACGAGATAACGTATCTTCCAGCTCCTCGATACACTTATACTCTACTGATCATATTAAAGTTGTATCGTCGGCAAATAGATCTACTTGAGTATTTAAGTATAGGGGCTGGTCTTCAAAAAAGATCACAAACAAAAGAGGTCCTAAGATAGAGCCTTGGTGTACCCCTGATGTGATGATCCTTGTGGATGAGTGACTCTTAAATGTAACATACTGCAATTGCGATCGTTAAGATAACATCTGAACCAGGCTAAGGCACTGGGATCCAGCCTATACACTTCAAGTTTAGTAAGGGGAATCGAATGGTCGACCATATAAAATGTTTTTTGTAGTCGACTGTTACAATTCCATTGACTCGATCACAGTTCAAATTAAATTGGAGGGAGTCAATTAAATTAGCAAGTGTAGTCTCTGTACTGAGGTTTTTTCTGAACTCTGTTTGATTGATATAAATAAGGTCATCGTTGAACAGATAATTTGATTAACAATCGTGCACATGCCGTTCTATCTCCTTGGAGAGCAATTACTCGTACATGTAATACGGAAATAGGGTGGTAGTTGTTTACATCACACAGTCGATCAGCCTTACGCAATGCAGTCACCCTGACGTTTTCCACAGTGATGGAAATTTAACTGGCGAGATCGCCTGTAATTCGCTTAAAACTAAAGTTGATATATTCGTATAACAGACGCAACCTTTGTTAGATTCTCAGAAGAAGGTTGAAATTAAATGACAAATCTCACTTTGGAATTTGATCCCTCAACAGCAAAATGCCCTAAAGACGAGGTAAGATGTGATGGAGGAAAATGCATCAGTGTGACGAAGCTTTGCGACGGTAACACCGACTGCGAGGACGGCTGGGATGAGGAGCAGGACAATTGTCGTAAGACTGAAGCTTCAGAGTCATTGTCCCTTTAACTCTGACATAAGCGCGTATATTCGCTAAAGCCTGTTCTCATTTCTCTTCCTTTAATTCTGACTGAGGAGAATTTCTTTACAATCAAGGCCTTTTGGTGACGTTTCCTTTATTCTGACAATCTTCGCAGTAATTATCCTAACTTAAACGGACGTCAAAATAACAACCCTAAAGTTGATCTTTTCTCTCTTTCATTGCTCTGACTCGATAACGCCATACTGCCGAAGCCAAAACCTCTCACAACTCGTTGTGTCTGACAGAAGTATCCAATGGCTTAAGGTTATGGACAAAGCGCAATCATTCTTTCCAGAAGCACAATTTAAGCGAATTTGGTCTATTGAATTTTCCACATGTTCTTCTCTTCTTCTTTAGCACACGTCCCGGGGGAGTGGGAACTAGTGAGGGTTGGTGCGGAGGCTCACTCCTTCGATGTGCTGCTGGGTGTCTAAAACCTTTACCATAATTAAGCAAAATAAATTTTTTCACATATATACTTTTCCGCTTTGCAGCAATCAAATGTGCGAATGATGAATTCAGGTGCGCGACGGTTTGCATTACAAAAGATTGGGTTTGCGATAACCATGATGATTGTGGTGACGGTGCTGATGAGAGAGGCTGTGACGTCATTACAGGTACGCATGTTCCCTTTACTCAGCAGCAATAATCTTTATGGAAATCAATATGTTACAAATATAGACTGATTGCTTATAGCGAGGCTAATCGAGGCAAGTAGTTTGAGGACATATCACTAACAGACCATAATACGCCACTTCCACATTTCTCATAGTGCACCTTATTTGCGCCCCAAAATTTAGCATAACCTTTGTTCT